TAGTGTGAGGGATTGCTGAAGAGTCAATGAGTCGATGCAATCAGCTGGTTTTCCTTAGATAGAAAACTTTGAATCAATCTGACTGGATGATCTGTAGCTATAAAATGACCTGTGATGACAGGGTTTTATGCGTTTTGTGGACCTGTACATATCTTTGAGACGTATAAATAAAGTTTATCAGATTTCTGAGGTTCCCTGATGAATCTGTTTTCTGACCCATATGACTGGATGGTCCATAATGACCCGTACTTGCAGAGGTCCAGGTCTGCTTCTCTCTGGGGAATCTCAGTCTGGCCATCATGTTTTCTCGGGGAGGACCCCACCATGATTGTATAGAGCGGGGTCCGCCCTGACCTCTGGCCCCTCCATCACTATATTGCACGTCTTCGCCTTTGGTTCCGACTCTTGCTGGATTTTAAAATCCGGTCGAGAAACATTGGTTCTGGTTCTGGAGCAGCAACGCGTGTAAAACTGGGCCAGCTCCATCCCTCCTCCCTTCTTCCTGCGACCAATCAACACAAGCCTTGCTGACATTCACACAGACACACGATCAGACTCATGTTTACCCTCAGGAGAAAAGGAAAGGGTTAAAACTACAGGAGATGAAATTACCTCCTGATGCTCAGTAATGCTGCTGGGCTTAATAACAGAACCCAATCAGAACATCCCAGTCAAACTGGGTCAGACTGAACCGTCTCCATCATTTTATTTCCACTTGAACATGTTGATAAAAACACAGCAGTAACAGACTGGGAACCGGTACCACTTTATTGTTCCATCACTGAACAGGGCGCATGCTGGGTCACCTCAGGTCGCCCCTGATGGGGGTTAGGGGGGGTCCCTAAAATCTAAGACATGAATTAAAAGCATAAAAAAACCATTGATAGTTTTTAAGAAATCTTCCAGGATGGACTGGTTTCCCCAAAGATCCGGAGCTGATTGAGGTCCTGGTTCCTCGCTGGGATCAGAGCTTCAGGATCTCGCCTCTGATTTTATTTTCATGTTCTTCTCTATAAAATGAAGGCCGAGTTGGTGAGAAGATCCTTAGTGATGGGAGGGGCTAACCATTCCTGGAGAACATGCAGCAGAACATCTGCTCGTTCCTCGTCTTTAAACCACATGGAGAACATGGAGGTGCTGATGAAGCTGCTGGAGTCTTCCTCTCTCTAGTCCTTCAGATGCTGCTGGGTGGGCGTGGTCATCAGGTGGAAGGAACCTGCCAGAACATCACGGTCCTCTGCAGGGACCTTATGGGCCTTAGAAAGGAGAATTCATTCCCAGCTTGGTTTCAAACTGCAGCTTCTGTCTCTTCTGGTAACGAACTCGAGCCCTGAAGAAACAAGAGAACCAATCAGCATCCAGGATCCACCTTCAGGGAAAGTCTGAGATCTTGTCTGCTGTGGACTGGAAACTAGTCTGGGTAAACCGGGCGATAGCAACAAGCAGGAACTGGTCTGGGTTAAACAGGCTGTAACAAGAAGCCAGGTCTGGAACTTTTGGCTCTAGAAGAACAACATATTCAGTTGTTTCTGCTAACCCCTTCGAGTAAACCACTTCCTTCTAACCGCTCCGTGATAACCAGTCCCAGCTAACTGCTCCCTGCTAACCGGTTCCAGCTAACCAGTCCCAGCTAACCGCTCCCTGATAACCAGTCCCAGCTAACCAGTCCCTGCTAACCAGTCCCAGCTAACCACTTCCTGCTGACCGCTCCCTGATAACCAGTCC